TTTATTATGGTCAAAACCTGGAAATATCACCAAAGTGTCCATCAGAGCAGAATAAAGAAATAGTGGTATTAATGAAATAGCACATATTATATAGCAATGGAAACACACACACACACACACCCTTACATGTGACATGAGTTTTCTAAGAATTTTTAGTGAAAGACACCAGATACAAGATATGATTCTATCTTTACACAAGTCAACAGTGAGCAAGACAGACTAATTATTGTTAAACACATAAGTGGTAAAATACCTTTTAAAAAGATGCGGGGGCTGGGGGTTACCACAGTCAGGATGGTATGACCTCTGAGGGACAGAAGAGGTACTAAGAGGGAACACACAGCAAGTATCTGGAGGGCTGGCAGCAATTCCTCTGCATCAGCTTTATGATTACACAGCTGTTGCTTTATCCAGTAAACTGCACACATTTTATATACTTTTCTGTAGCTGTATTTCACAAATTTCAAAAGAAAAGGGAGAACTTATTCTACAGAATATTAACACCAATTAAAGCCATAATGATTGCATGGAAAAAAAAATATCAGAAGGCCCAGCAACAAGCCCAATGTATAAAAGACATACAAGTATTTAATATTCTATAAAAATATCATTACAAATCAGAAGGAAAATGGTGGCTGATGATACTGAACCAATCTGTCCAATCAGTAAACTCTTCACAAGAATTAACAATGGAATCTCTTTCTCATACAGATCCCTAAATAAACTTGAGATAGATTAAAAATTTCCTTTTCACCCCAAAGTTATGCAGAAAATGAGTTCAGGTTATATAAACAAGATAAAATTCTTTTTAAGCTAAAAAATAACTATAAAAATTCCAAAATACTGAGAAAATAGGGGTTAATATACATGGGTTAAGAAAAGTATATTCAAGCACACATGCAAAGATAAACTCCTAAAGAAAACAAGTAATACATTAGTTGTATTAAAGGGCAAATAGCACACTAAGAATAATTATATGACAAAGGATGGACATGCTTAATTCATAAAGAACTTGTAAGCCAAAAAAGGGCCAGTTCTCCCAGAGAATAACAATATAAATAAGCAAGTTTCAAAAGAATAAATAGAAATGGCCAATAAACATGAAAAAATAACGTTTTCTATGTAATTAAAGAAATACACATTTAAAATGTAGCCTTTTTCTGTACTTGTTCAATTTGCAACAATTTTAAGTAGCCAATTTTAATTCTGGGTGTTTGATATATTGCTGGTGGGAACATAAATGGACAAAATCTGTATGTAGTAAGTGATGAATTATCAAGATTCTCAAAAATTTATATCCCCTTGCAGCTAGCAATTTCATGTCTACAAAAATATCTTCTGGAAATGTCATTGTGTATAGATGTGACTAACTTTTAAGATATTAATCATTTCACTGTTTACAGACTACATTATAATTAACAATCAAATTTTTCAACTAGGAAATTGTTTTAAAAGTTATGGTAATTACTCACGAAAAATATTCTGTAGCTGTCTTAAATGTAAAATACTTAATGTGGGAAAATGTTTATACTACATAGGCTATTAAACAATGTATAGCATTATTACATTTTTAAAAATATAAATGTATTGCTTATATTAAAAAAATAAGTACAAGTACAAACACTCAAATGTTAGTGGAGATTGTCTCTGGCTGGTAGGCTTGAAAGGGACTCATGCATACTACATGTACATGAGCCTTCTGCACCACCAGCTTTCCAGAAATAAAATGTCATTTCATTCTACAGAAAAAGAACATTAAATAATTTTGTGTTCTGAAGTAATTTACTATTAGTTTTAAACACTAATGAAACTGCTAATTCAGAATACTTTTTACATTTGCTTTTTGTCAGGGAGAGGGAAAATGGATAGCACATGACATAGATCTAAGCCCTTCCTATCACACATGCATATGACCTAAATGTGTTTTGTCAAAACTTTTGGATAGTCTCTCTCAAAGAAGTTAAATTTAACTAAATACCAGTAAAATAACACCATTAGTATTTGGAGTTGTTCTAATTAATATTTTATTTTTCCTTTGAATACTTTTAAAGGCTCCACATTAAACAAAGAATTTTTTTAATAACATAATTTCTCTGGAGACAACCATATAATCATTTAAAATGACAGGAACATGTATATATAGGAGATTGAGGTTTCTGCAGCCTATATATGCCTCTTGGCGGTGGGGAGGGGTATGGGGAGGAGGAAGCAAAGTACTGACAACTGACAATTCAGTTATAACTTTGAAAAAATAACCAGTTCTCATACCAAAACATGAATGTGCTACACATGAACCTCAACTGTGAGAGTAAAGAACTCCAGTCAAGTAAAGCATGAGAACAACTACTCCTTTCACTTAGCTCTCAGCTGCATTTCCTATACCACAACTTACTCCAGGCAAATCTGGTCATCTAGAAAAACCCTCTGCCCCTCTAGCATCTCCTCAAAATATTCCTTATTCCTAATCAGAAGTAAGAACAATCTTCCTAGGGGAAGACAAGAGAATAAAACAAACACTTGTGAAGCATTTTTCTATGAGTGTCTTTCAAGGTAATTCACATCCCAGATCTCAATTACTCCAAGTAAGCATACACACAATGCTTTGGACTGTACTCCCTTCACTGCTCAAAAAAAGAGGGAACTAAGTCTTACTAATTTATTTTAGGTACCTGGGACAATTAAGTGTTTCACTGAAAGACATAATAAATGCTATTTTATAGAGGTAAGGATAAGAAAAAAGTGAAGCTATCTACTTCCATTTGAAAGGAAAAAAACATATTCCACTACATACTAAAATATCAGACCAATGCACAACATACCGCAAAATTTTAATACAATATGGTTAAACACAATATTGAAATATTAAACTTTTCAATCACATGAAGATCATCTTCTGAAAGACAAACTGAGCTTTTTTTTGTAGCAACGTTTTTGTAACTTTATAAAGTTTTCTCCCTCAACAGTGTCTGACACCAATCTTGATACTTGTTATAAAGTCTGATGGAAGATAATGACTTCTCAAGAGTAGAAGATTTAGGAGATAATTCCAATGCCCATCTTCATAATT